GTTGGTTTTGGTGTGCTTAGGGCTCAGGGGTAGGATTTGCTTTGCTCGCTGCAGGTTGCCACAAAAGCCAGAGAAAAACAACACCCTTAAGCAACAGAGCGCCATTGATGGAAACACGTGGGCATCTTGCTCGTCTTGAGGTAAAAGGAAAACTGGCTGTCCATCAAACCCACTCACTTCGCTCGTCTCACCATAAGACCTCGAGATGTCCAACACTGCATCAATCTCCTCCTCGATGGAGATCTTCTCCAAGATGGCATCGAACAACCTCGAGGGACCTGAACGAGTCCGGAAAGTACTGATTGCCGTCAATCCACATCTCCGCGCTCTTACTCTTCTTGAGCCCTCCAGACTCTCTGCCTTCTCAGCTGCCGAAGTCACGGTCTGTGAACTCCTGGCAAAAACACGGGCATTACTTGTTTCCACCAGCGTGGCCAAGGTGAATAAGGAATGACCTCCGAATTACACTCCCCCAGCGAGAATGCCAGCCCTGAGCAAAAATGGACCCTGAGGAAAAATGGCCCGTCTTTCACCGCTAAGGAGGACTATCGAGGTGGGTGCGCCCACTCTTCGCGGGATTTTGAACAAGGCACGAGCTGCCGGGGCTTGCAGAAAGACCATGCCTTTCCTTTGCAGCGACAGAAAGGCGAATTCCGGGAACCGAGGGAAGAGACGAGCCATCGCGCCAGCTTCCGGGTCTTCACTTTGCTCGAAACTTGGGTCCTTCCATGTCCTTGCGAAGAGCCAAAGGAACCCTCCATGGTACCATGGGTAGGTGAATTCACCACCCATTTTAGACCTATTTTAGTGGGAATTGAATCGGATGTTCACTGAGGGTACGATTTGGGTTTTGACCCACAGCCATATTTTGAGAACCAAACAGCCGCATCACGCGGACAAACAATCCGACCATTGAGAACCGTGCCATGACGTAAGGGGAAACCAAGACCAGTGGAAAATCACCCGTGTTGAAAGTTGTAGGGATTCGCCCATCTTGAGACATCCCCGCATGGGCGGGTTTACAGTGACAAAGTCATCTCTTCTCACTACATCGTCATTCAAACAAAAGCATCTTGGCATCACTTGGAAGGGGATTCCCTAGGTGTCACAGAAAGTGGCAACCATGATCCACGAGGCTGCCTCATATAGAAGCCTAACAAACGTCTACAAATGACAAATACCCACAAACGACCTTACCAAAAGGAGACTCAATGTTCATTGGCAACCCAACGGTGGTGTTTAGAACCAATCATGAAACACAGGAGAAAAAAACAAAATTGAACATTATAAAAAAGCAGGAAATCCTGGTCCACTCCACCCATGTTCTGATCAAAGCATGCCGGCAGCACATCATGCGTGCCTCCAGCGCGCCTGCGCATGTCTGGCGCTTGTATTCCCCGGTGGCCGCTTTCCCCCCACGCGAACCACAAAAGACATAGCAAACAAGAAGTCGCCTCCCCAGCAGCAAAACAAGAACACCCCCCACCCCACCCCACCCCACCCCACCCCACCCCACCCCACCCCACCCCACCCCACCCCAACCCACCCCACCCCACCCCAGCCCCAACCCCAACCCCAACCCCAACCCCAACCCCACCCCACCTCTGCACCCTTTGAAACCCTCCCATGCCACTCCGGAGGCTTCAAAGACCCCATAGCTGTCAGCTTTGTCCCCCCTCGAGAGAGAAACTCACCGCATCCTCCGCCCGCCGCCGCCGAAACGACGGGGACTGGACAACGGCGATGCTTGGTCCCCCCTCCCTCCCGCCCCACGGATGGATGCGACCTCGCCCCAGACTTTGTACTCCATTACACCCTATTCAGGCTGGCTTTTGTGGAAAACGTGTAGGTATGGAACAAACACACAGACTTGCGTGTCATTTTGAGGGTACCCCTTTTTGTGGCTCTGAAGGATCACAAAAGAACAACCCGCCCGTTTTATCCCATTTCAGGGCATTAAAACAAAACGCACCCACTTCCCCACGACGTGGGACAATTCGAGCCCCTCGCCCATGTCCTGCGCAAAGGACAACACAGGCCATGTTGACCCATCTTCATGCCCCACCCTCTCTCCAAAAATCGAATCGGAGTTGGTTTCATCTGAAGGGCACATGGGCCTCCAGCGGATCCCAGGGTAGGGAAATGGACTCACCGGAAGTTGGTGGTGAATTCTAAGCGTTGAAACCACGTCACAACTGGTTGGTGGACCACCATCACCTAAACGACCTCCAAAGTGCGACCACCTGATAATAAGTCGACGTAGTCAACCCCAACATATATGAATACCATGGGACGCCCTCGTCTTACACCAACCATGACTCTCTTTTTCCAAGCCTGTTGATAGACCCCTTCCACATAAAGACTTGATCTTTTGATCAACAAACGCACCTGCAAACTCCTCTGGCCGCAGGAACATGATGCCAAGTTCAAAAGTTTGCGACTGGAAGGAGAGCTGCGCTGTGTGACTCTCTGTGTGGCTCTCTGTGTGTCGAGCTGTGGTTTTCTCGTGTCTGTTTTTTGTGGTTTGTGCAAACAGGTTCAAATCATGTAAGCTGGGATGGCGTCAGTTTCATGATATCAACTTGAGCCACGTGCAAGCGCTTCCAGCCGTGGGTCCATGAAAATGACATCTTCAAACTCACGCTTCAAATGGACAGTTTCAACTGAGGTGTTCATTTGAAAACGGCGTCCTCAACATAGACCCAAATCCACGGGGAAAGTTCAAGCCACTTGATGGCTCATGCAAACACTTGCGTTTTTTTTGTTTTTTTGTTTTTTTCTTCTGTGGTTTCTTGAGGGCACCTGTTTTACCTTGGCTTCAAAGGCGAGCCACAAGGAATCCCACCATTTTGGGGGTCCCCTGTTTTGACACACACCCACATGGACACATACCTTCTTCCATGGACATGGAAACACAAACAAATCAAATACCTGCCAAGTCATTTTGCTCGTGGTTTTCAGAGAATTAAACTGGGTGATGTTGTTTGGGCCCGGCGGGTGTGAAATAAAAGTAGAAGACAAAAAACAACGCATCCTCCGTTTCCTTCCTGGGAACGTAAAACTAGTCCTATACGCTACGAAGGCAACCCTAGGGGTTTAGTTGGAACGAGGCCTTTGACATGTAACCAACTATAGGCAAGTTCCTTGAGTTGCGGGAATGAATCACGTTCGGATCCCCTAGGAAACCACCAGAAAGTCCCTGTCCCTGCTCGGTTTTGTTGGGGAAAAATGGGATCCCCTGCACTGGGCCCTCAGATCCCCTGCTAAAAGTTTGACTTTCAGTGGGTCAACTGGAACCCCCGCTGCTCTAAACCCTAAAAGCCTTTAAACAAAAAACTAACGGGGATGGCTGGGAGCCACGAAGCTAATAAGCAGACAACGACCAGCGATGGCTTGGTTCAGTTTCGGTCCAACTCATTCCCTGAGAAGCAACTCTTGTCGAGCACGCCCGGCTGTGCAAGCGCCGCTGCATTTCTCGTTGTGACGCGCCAAGCTTGGAGCTGCAGTCTATATGTTAAGGTCCTTACATGATCAAAATGAAGATGCCCCACCGATGTTCAACTAGAAGACTTGTTCTTTTTTTGTCCTTTTTGTTTCTTCTTTTCTTTTCGGGGGAGGGGGGGAAACATCTTGGATGTCCCTTCTTCCCTTCTTCAAGCCCTGGAAACACTGCTTTCGACTCATCCGGCATGTCCATCTGGGGGTAAGGACCTTGCCATATGGCCCGGACAGGTGCTGTGAGCCATTGCCCCTACCCAACTCCCCGCTGTGGGGGATGAAAGATATCAAACGGGTCAGGCTTCGACCCAGAAAGTCGGACGCTGATATTGGTTGATTAATAGGGGGGTGTTCCCCTCCAAAAGTGATGAATCCCCACTAAAACCGGGGACACCCCCATATTAATAATCCGGGGTTTGTTAATCCGGGGTCAACATTAGATGGCTTCCCCAAGACATCAACTCCATGGGGAGAACATCAGGCGGGTGGCGACTTGCTGGGTCCAAGTTTGGTGCCAGTGAAGATATGTACTGGTCAGCTGTCTCATACGTCCGAGGGATAGGAAGTGACGACGCGACATTCCAGCGGCAAGTACAACAACAACACGTTGAACATACTTCTGCTCAGTTTCTCATTCCCCTGGAAAGCGATGAACAAACCCCTTCCTGCCCCAGAAACGTGACGCCCCATCGCGATGCGATGGTCGACACACATTGCCAGGCTTAAAGGCTTACCTGGCTGCCTGCCTATGGGAAAAGTGGGTGTCTTACCTCCTTCGGAGACCAAGCACCGCAAAACCGAGGATCAAAGTTCCAAGCCGCATGGAAGGCATGGAATTGCTTTCAAAGCGATGGGCCAGACCTTTGGCGTCCGACTTTACATTGCACTTTAAAGGGCCAAAAGGCGCGTCGCGCGAGCTCCCTGAAATTCTGAAAGTGAGTCTCTCGCATGACGCCTGTGCGCTCGAGTCGAGTGTTAATGGTGCCAATAGCACCAGACTGACCGAATTCTCACGGATCGATGGGACCAAACCACCCCCTTGCAGCGAATTTGAGGAAGATCAGCCGCACAAAGAGCAATAAAGGGGAGACACTTAAGAAAGGGAGACCCTTTCACCTTTGGTTGTCCGTTGAAGACAATGAGTGGTAGCTGCGGGAAGCTTGCGGGGTCTCTCAAGAGTGGTCACTCTTGATGCGGCCTATTTACAATTTTCGACATGGGCCGAAAGTTGCCATCGTCATGAAAACTGCAGCCAGTTCCCTTGCACAAGCCGCTCGAACTCCACCAATGAGATGAGACGCCTACGAGCAGTTGCGAAAGGTGGATCTTGCTATCTGCCGCAAGGTTCAATTCCTCGCGCTCGAATTGAGGCATGCTTGAGCGGCGCAACTTGGGCGACTGTCACCTCTGCGCCAGTTATTGTTGCATCAACCGCACGCGCCTGTCAAACGACTTTGGGAAAAGAAGCGGAGCCCTACTGGCAACGCGGTCCATTAGGTTCAGGTCGGGTTTGACAGGCGGGGCCCCAGAGTTTGGCGGATTTGAAATCCGCAGAAACGAAAAGCGCACCCTGTGAAATCTCTGCCAACATCACCTTGCCTCAGTCAAAATGTTGTTCAAGGGGTCATGCCTGTCCGTCCTGGGTGCCTATCCTGGATATTATGCACGCACGTGGGGGTGGGTGGATGGGTGCGCGCGTGCGCGTGTTCGGACAATGAAGAATGCACACAGAGTAAAACCACAAACACACACGGTACAGAACAGCATTACTGCAGGCAAAGCACACATTTCATGTTCCTAAGGGTCCAAGTGCCAAGTACCTTCTAAGGAGGTACTTTACGCCCTTTTAACACCCCAAAAACCATCCTCAAAGTGTACTTGGGCCCTTGGGACGCAAACAAACCACGCAAAAAAAGAAAAAGAAGAAACACTTGCAAAACTGAACGTTCCAAGGAGCCCTATCTCGCGAGCCTGTCCTCCAAGTGGATGCGTTCAACGACATCTCGGAGCGACGCCTCAGGAGAAAGCCTCAGATCTCCGCTGGAACTCCCCGAGAGCAGTTCTTCTATTTGGTGGCCCCGGGAAAAAATGAAAATATTTCCACCCAAAGGCTCCTGGGGCTTTCAATGGAAGACCCGACCCTCCATTGGACACCCCAGAGGTGTTTGGGGGTCTCAAAACCTGGCTGTTTGAGGGCCTTACATGAATCGGGAGCCTCTGGGCAATAGTGTTGAATTCCGTTTAAGACCAACAAGGGAATATTCAAAACTGGGATGGCTCTGCAGAACCTTAACGCAGGCAAGGATGTGACGTTGCAAACGTGACATCCTGAAACAAAAAGCCCAGATGCAACCCTCCAACAACTGAAGTGAACAAAAGCTACCAATCGGTTTATCAATTTGTCCATATGTTCAAAATCACGGTCACCATGGGAAAGTGCTTCGCTGCTTTTCCTGTGTGATCCTCCATTTGCTTAAGTCGCCTGGAAAACAACAAACATGTCCAGTAGTGATAGATTCCCTATAAAACCAACCGGGCCAAGCAAAAGTGTGCATAAGCAAATGGAACATGTTGAGTCCCCGAATGTCCCTAGGTCCGTGACATTTGACCGAATTTCATAGTGGAGCTTTGGATCCGAACCCAATCCGACATTGGACAAATTGGGTCGATTTTGTGGTTGAAATTGGGGTGGCCCAATTGGCCGTCCTCCGCACACTACCAGCCAACCAGACAATTTGACAGTTGCCCTCGCAACAATGCCAGAGATGTGCCTTGACTCGCGCTGTGGGTGTTTCAATCGCAAAGCCGGAACAATCACCCAGGGTTCGCAAGATTTTGAGCCAACCCCTTTCAACTCCAGGCATTCGATTCTACCCTTACACAAGAGCCAACAGCATAAGTTCATGGTAGTTGCAATGAACAAGCACAAACATCCACACAAACACGCCCGAAACCTCGGCAACCCAGCCCAAAGCGCAGCCTCGGCGAGGCTTTCAAAAGCGAAAGTCGAAAGTCGAAGCCATCGGCAAGTGGCCCATAGTGGCGGACAGCGACTTCGGGCGCAGGCATGTCGCCTCAGATTGCTCCCAGAAAGGGGGCTGGTTCCAACCATAGGTGCCCTTTGGGTAAAATAAGTAGTCCTGGCAAATGGAACAAACCTTCTCTAAACTTTAAACCAACCTATGCAGTTCCATCAGTTGCAATTCCTTCAGGGTGGTTGGAGTTTTTAGCTTTTTTTTGAGTGGCAAAACTCAACATTTGGCTTCCCATGGCGTCTCCTCGGTGCAATGAGCCCAGTTTGGAGATATGTGAGGTTGTGTGCACCATTGGTCAAATCCCCAATTCACCAATCCCGACCACCGTAGAGAGTTGACACCTAGCGCAGGCCTGTTCAAAAAAAGGGCAATAGAAAACAACAACCTGTACCGTAGTAGGTAACCACTCACTTCCTGAGTCACAATAAGCCCAGGTGGTATCCCCAACAGCCCCAGAACCCTTCCAGACCCCCCCCGTGAAAGCTGATCCGTGGCTTGCCTGGGATCCACTGGGGTCTAGCAATCTCCCTCCGAACGAGTTCTACACTGAAGGTCTTGGGTTAGCAATCCTGATGCAGGCAATGCAAACACTGCCAGAGTTCAAACTCGTTCCGCAAGGAGCAAAGTGAAGCACCTTTAGAGTGAGTCGTGCACGGATCCGAAGATACTCGCATACTTGCATACTTGCGGTGCACATCATTTCAGGGGAGCCAAAGTTTGCTTGGTGAGTGGACTTTGGGAAAGCGGTTCCGGTAGGTCAACAAACAAAACCAGTTGGTTTCCCGTGTTTTCTCTTGGTTCCCTCGGTGATCAAAGGGTTCCCTTGGAGATGGAATTTCAGGGCTTTCTTTTTGGTTCAAAATAGATGGCACTGGAGGTGCGTTCCATTTACCAGTGGCATATCCCGAGTCCAACGGCACCATCCCCGCGCGAAGCTTCGCATCTAGCCTGAGGCTCCGATCGGGGCTTGAACCCGGGGGTCCCCCGGCCCCGTACCACACCCCAAGTCTAGGGGTGTCACAGGACATTTGAGGCCCAAAAATCCATCACAAGCCTTGGGGTAGATCAACAAAGAGGAGTGAGCTGGATGGTTGGGACCAACGCGGCCCAAGTGGCGCAAGGTGGGCAGCTCGCCCTCATCCATCTCCTCCAAAAGCTGCGCGTAGACGCGGATCAAAGCCTCCTGCGATTGTGATTCGCGCCTGAGTTTTGGCTGGGCCCTCAAAGGAAAAAGGTGAACACAAGTCTAGGCCTGTTATTTTGGTTTGCCGATCTCCGATCCCAGGAAGCGATGTTCTTTTTGCTCTCTTGGGATCTTGAAGACCCTAAGCATCACCAGGAAACTCTATGGGAGTTTGTTTTTGCCAATGGAGGGGTTTTAGGAATCTCCATTGGTCTACAAAGGGAAATGGATCATTTGTGGCTCCCCCCAAATAAACACCAAGGACTTTTCTGCGGATCGGCAGGAACCTGATTGGGGGGGGGTTCTGATTGATGGGTGACGACCTTTCTGGGTAGGAGGGGACTAATGCTTCTACTTATAATTGATGGCCCATGGAGAAGGGGTCCCTTTTCGGGTCAGTCCCTCCCAGGCGCATTTCCTCATAGGAGGGTGCAGCCAAGAGTCAACACCACGCTTGGCACTGGTTCAAGGAAACCGAGGCTTGAGTCTGGTTTGCTCCTTTCCCCTGAGCAAAAGGCCGATCACCTTTTGTAAATTCAATGGACAGGCCCTAAGCCAATTGAAATCTGGTGCTTTCCGCAATGGGTTTCCCCTTCAACCCACCACAAGAAGGGTACACTAAAAAAAAACACGCCCCTTATTGTGTTTCCGCAAATTATTAAAGGTCCTCGGCCATTTAAGCCACAACTCGTGACGTCAGCCGTCAGCCCACCTGCGAGTGGTCCACGCACCACTTCCCAAACCGGGGCCAGAGGAGGTAGCCCACGCCAAAAACGTAGGCCATCGACTTCAGCCTCGCTGTGCCGGAAAAAAAAAAAAAAACAGGGGTCGATTCTTGTCGCTGGTTGTTTCGACCCCAGCAAAACAAGTTTGTTTTTTGGTTTGTGCCTGGTTAGTGGAAAACAAAGGGAATTGTTTATGTTTGTTTTGCCTGGTCAGTGGAAAACCAAGGGAATTGTGTTTATGCTTGTTTTGCCTGGTTAGTGGATAACAAAGGGATGCTTTTTATGTTTTTGCCTGGTTCGTGGAAAACAATGTTTGTTGTGTTTTTTGCCTGGTTAGTGGAAAACAAAGGGATTCGCTTTTTGTTGTTTTTTTGCCTGGTTTGCGGAATGCCAAGTTTTTTTTGTTCAAGAAAAAAACCTGTTTGTTTTTGCATGGTTAGTGGAAAACTAAGGGAACCCCAGAAAACAAAAAAACAAATAGAAAGGGGCAACGAATTCGGAAGGATTCTGGCTGAAGGGTGATATTATGTCGGTACCTCAGGGGACCTGAGCGGTATTGGGGTCCAGCTTGCACCAAAGGACTTGATTCCTTTTCCATTATTTTCAACCATCGTTCGTTTCAACAACCGGATCCGTTTTCCGTTTCTGAAGGTTTTCTAGGAAGAAGGAATTTCCTGGAAAGAACGGGGAAGGTACCATAAGAAAAAGAGTATTCAGTGTCATGAGACACTGACTACCCCATATTTTCCCTGTAAAACAACACGACCAAGAGAATCTCACCTCAAATCCACCAAGGTGATGCCGACACGGCCAAACCAGAAACGCGGGGAGCCCTAGAGCCGGGGATTGACCTTGAGAAATTCAAGGCAATCATAGGCTCAGTGTACAGGGGAACAACCTCAAAGCAGTGGGTCCAAACTTGCCATCGGTGCAATCAGTAAAGAAAATGTGGGGAGTGCGGCTTTCTCGGAAACCACCCCGTTGGATGGCTGAAATCGGGGTCGTTCCGCATGCCTCATTCCATTTCTCATTCCCTGCCTATTGCAGCAGCAAGAATACCTGGTCACAGCCCTCAAAAGCCGAGCACCTTGTTTTGAATACCGGGGAGTTTGACAGGGAATATGTGGATTTGTGAAGCGCCCCAATGAAAAGCAACCAACTGGATGTCCAACAAGGTGTATCAAGCAAAAGCCGGCGAATCGCACACGCACACTGCCACGCCGAGAGGTCAGGATCCAGCACCATGATAGTTTTGTGGATCGCTGTTGGGACTCTGAATGGGTTTACATGTAGAAATATATACATCAAGCATGTGTGTATGTATGTATGTATGTATGTATGTATGTATGTATGTATGTATGTATGTATGTATGTATGTATGTATGTATGTATGTATGTATGTATGTATGTGAGTCTGTCTTATGTATGTATGTATGTCTGTTTGTCTGTCTGTCTGTCTGAACGTACGTATGTATGTCTGTCTTATGTATGTATGTATGTCTGTCTGTCTGCATGTCTGTCTGTCTGTCTGTCCGTCTGTCTGTCTGTATGTATGTATG